CTGTGTTAATTAAGATTTAATTACGCAAATTGTAGCTAAGGATTTTATTCAGCTGGCGAACAAATAGGCACAATCATGTTTTGAAATATCTCATAGAGCAGACCGTACAGTATTTTTTAAATTCAATGTGTTGAAACCAATATTTAGGGCATGCAGACTAACATTCAAAAAATCCCGAAACTAGCACCTTTTTGGCTCTCGTAAACTCAAAGTTAAAAAATGAAATTAATTAATGTTTTGCCGTCATGCATATCAAAGCCGATATGCATATTAATTATTATTTGGAACAGCAAAGGTGACGTACTCTGTACTCCTTAGCCAAAACGACTAAAACAATCCAACACAGAGTATATTAGCTGAATATTGACCTGAGCGCGAGGTTTGTAGCTACTGTGAAATATCAGACCGCGAAGCAAGCTTTTTAACATGGCAGGTTTATTATGCTCGTCTACAGTAGTGCCTTTTTAGCCCAATTTACACAACCAAGCCTATTTTCATACACTTCAATGATGCCAGAATTCATACGTCAGGCTCTATCCCAAAGTGAAGACAGACTTCAGACCCTCTGAAAGTATGGTTCGAGATCGTTTTTAACGAAACAAGGAAAAAGTATTTTAAGACAATTTTTGCCGCCTTTTTTGCCGCTTTTTTTCCACAATTATACACCATTTAAAATGTATGTACATGATGACTTACTGTACCTGTTGTAATGGGCACTTTAAACCCAAGAAGAACAATTTTAATAAATTATACATGCAACTTCAACTATCAGTGTTAAAAAACTATAATCTTAAACATGATTGCGTGCTTACTAGCTATATATGCTTCCTTGATATGTATATGTAGTTGTTGAAATAACGCTTGATAGGGAATTGCAGGTGAAAAAATTAAAATGAAATTAAGAAGGATATCACGTATAGTTTATATGATTTCTATATAATAGTAATTACAATATTGAAAACTATAATAATAAGACGTTGTTTTAATTAAAAAGGCTCGTCTAAAAATTAATATTGTTTACAACATCGGCGTATATATTTAATGAAAAATAGAATTGTAATTTTTAAATTTTGCGAACTTTGTCCGTTGAGCAGAGCGATTTGTCAAGTGAGCTTGTGCATTGTGCTTATGAAATGCTATTGGTTGTTTTTTCGCGCCAAAGGGAAAAGGAGTCTAATTGGTTGGAATGATCAGATCAAATGATGTTCGCTTGCGATATCGGGTCCAGTGGCGGATCTAGCGTTAGGCAGAATAAATTAAAAGGTTTGTAAATTAAAGTCTACCAATGCGCGATTACGATTTTGAGCTGTAGTAATTTATTTCGCCTAAGCCAGAATCCGCACTGATTGGATCTAATATGTACTGATGCTTTGGAGCACCAGAACATATGTTTTTTGCCAAAACCGAAGACACACGTTGATCAGTGCGAACATTTCCTCATTAACTTTATTTTATTATTGATATACTAAAACAGCTAAATCTATTCTATTTAAAAATTGATAAAATCAAATGTATTAGTCGCCCTATCTCTTTTGAAGTCTTTGAAAAGTAGCTAGTACTGACTTCATCTTTTTCAAAATCAACCGCAGCCCGCTCAGCAGTTGACAATAATATGTGAGACGTAATAATATTAAATCAATTTACATGTATAAAATAATTAATGGTCATACAGCTCTAAGTTTAAAATATTTATTTCGAAGATGCAATGAGGGCGATTCCCCCTATGATTTTCGAAATCGTAAAACGGATTTAATATTACCAAAATCCAAGTAAGAATTTCTGAAAATAACTTTCAAGTACAATGCATGGAGCTTGCCATTGAAATAATTTACCTTTTGAAGCAAAAACTGCCGATTCTATTCAATCATTTTAAGCGGATAATAAAATCTACTTTGAGGTGAAGCTGACCTGTCCTCATTCTCATTATGTTCTTTGTCTATTGCATGTTTGTTGTATAATCTGTTTGTTATCCCTGTACAGTACGTTCTATGCAATCAATTGTTTGTATATTTTTAATGTAAATACGCCCCTCGAACAAAAACTCGAGCTAGGTCTTGGAGTAATAGCTGCTGATATAAATAACGTGTTTATTTTTTAACCTTGAAGTTGACTGATTTTATTAAACACAACAACATATACAACAAATTTAGTGAGTAAACTATAAAAATTCTAAATTCTGTAGGCCAGATCGTGCAGTTATATCCCTCAGTGGCGGATCTAGGGGTAGTCGGAATAGATTACAAATTAAATTCGGAATCCCATTGGTAGATTTTTGGCTAAAAATATTCTTTTGAAATCCATAACGAATAGCGTTGTTATTAAGGTGTTTTGAATTGAAATTTGGCTAATTTATTTTGACTGCCCCTGGATCCGCCACTGTACACGCCATTATACTTTAGAATTTCAGTGTACGTCCGCAATTCCCTAAAAAGATTTATATCTTAAGGTGTATTTCCACCCAATGTAAAATGTCGTGAGATCGACTATGTGCCATTGTTTTCCTTTGAATTGAATCAAGCTTGAGCTTGATGAGCTTTATTGAACACACCGCAAAAGATAGCGATCGCAAAAAATCAATCGCGCGAAATTTTTAACAATTTAACAGCCTGTCATTGTCATCCGGCAATGAAATAGCAAATATTGTTACCATATATAGCAACAAAATCACGGCAAGTCGGTCGGAAACAGAATGCGGGTCCAATATAGAAAGAATATCCAGATTGTGACGAAATAAAGCAATATTACTGAACGTTTTCATTCGGTTATGTTTATCTTTTGAATATTTTTTATATAATTCATTTTGTTTGAAGATGATATACTTTGAAATTAAAAAGTCGAACATTTACAGTCTCAACATGAATTGATTCATTCCCGTTATGCAAATTTTAAGCCAATTCGTTGCAATCCACACTCGAATCTTCCTCATGACCACAATCGTGATCCGTGACATGTCGGCAATCCCAAATATAAGTCTCGTTTCCAGAACATTGCAGGTCATCCAACAGTATTGGACCATTTCCTTCACCATAACGTGCTTCTTCATAAACCTTTTTAGCTCCACTGTACCCCAGTTGTCGGCAAATTACATCACCATCTTTGATATCGAAATCATCATCACACACTGTCCCCCAACCATTGGACGGATAGTAGACTTCTACACGACCTCTGTTAGCATCACTTGTGCCAACCAATCTTATTGCTTTTGATGAATCTAAAACAGTGAAATTTTGTGTGGGAGCAACAAGAACAATGTCATCACAAACTTGTGCTTCATCAAGGACATAACAATGATACACCCATATTTAGGTTTAGCTAACGTATTAAACTATTAGAAATTGAATGTTCTTACAGTCCACAAACACCTAAATCAGGCGGGTTACAAAAGTTTGGCTAACCTGACGACTTACGCCTGTATTCAAAAAGCTTACTCACACTCACACTCATTGAGTGTGACATATTAATTTTGTTAATGCTGATCAATGAGAAAGTTTTCTCGGAATAGATGGAAAGATATAAGGTAAATTACTGAAAATAGGGCTCCTATTCGGCTTAAAATACCGCCATTCAAACGTTATGAGAAGATTAAGATCGCCCACTCAATGAGTTTGAGTGTGCTTTTAGAATACAGGCGTTAGTCCTACTATATATAGGCAAATTTTAAATTAATATTATTATCCATAGATAGACGGAAACTTAGTGAACAATATAAATTTTCCCGTGAGCAATAATTTTTGCAATCCTAAAAAACAATTCAATATTTCCGTGCAATCATGTATGTTATTCTTTGAGCCCCCCTCCCCTCTCTTTTATCATATTTGAAAAACTCTGTGGATCAGTGGTCATCATTTATCTCGGTATAAACCGAGATTCCACTGTACACTAAGTCTCGAATATTTTCTTAATTAATCACCTTGTGTGTCCTGGGTCAAGACCTTTTGGATGCAGCTTTCATTGTATTCCTATGAAAATAATCATCTTTATTTACAAGATACAGTTGCAAATAGGAATGACCATAATATTTATTCATAAATAATTATCCAGACTGCTTGAAAATAGTAATATGCGTAACCTAGACTGTATAGTTATGTTGGAACCTAAGTATATGTGATGCAGTAAAATACCATACGTACCTTTTGTGGGTTGACGAGGTAAACATAATCATACGCAGAGTTCATTTCTAAAACATCTTTCGAAGAATTGTAAACAACGTCATGTAACATTTCACAATTTGATTCATTCAGGAAACCACAAGTTTTCTTGTAGTTGATTGATCTGCAACATGGCTCGCTGGCACACATTTTTACGCAATATACCCAATCCTCCGCGCTTATATTGTTGAAAACCGTTGCATTCAACCTGAAACCTGGAAACGTGTGAACAACATGAGGCCCTTATGTGAACAACATGCGGCCCTTAAAGATGAGGCCCTTAGAGATGAGGCTCTCACGATGACAACTTTAGGCTGCCTAAATCGCAATCGTACGAAAGGGAGAAACTACGTTTTCCATCAAGGGATAACGAAAAAGAATCACGTAATGTCATCAGGGGAGCAGGCTTTTTGCCAAATCATGCAGCTGAGTTCAGGATTAATATGGCAGAAAGGTTTGCAAGGCTACTGACGATGACGAAACTACAATGCAATCATGCACCACAAAAGCACTGTGCTGGAAAAGGTTCCTATATACAAATAGTCTCACACACTCTAAAAACATCCTGGTTAAATTTAACCAGGAATGGGTCATATCTCGACCCGGAAATTAATCAATATGCCATCGACGCATTCCTGGTTAAATTAACCAGGAAATCCTGGTAGCCTATTTTGACCTGGAAATCCTGGTTGAAGTTAACCAGGTCATGTTGGTCAAACTGTTACGTAAGGTAACCAGGAACCTGGTAAATAGTATGTTTTGCGCTTTCGCATAATATCAATAATATCCAGTTGCGGAATTAATTATGCTGCAAAGCAGTTGCTGCTGCGATCTGCTGCGAGATTATTACATTATGAAAAAATTGCTGGTCAAACTAGAAGCTCTTTTATAAATTGGGCTGAAATTAAATGTCTGGAGCTGACGTACTTATCAAAAGGTGAGCACAATTGTTTCATAATACAAAAAATATATTTTAGTAGCATGATAAAATATCAACAAAAGCATCAAAATGCATACATAAACTTCTTAAAATTGTTCGTTGTTCAAACAATAGAAACAGCATCCTTAGCTTTATAACAGTATAAAGTATTTACAGTGAATAGGTAAGTGTTCTCTATCACGCAACAAATACTTTTACAAATGCAACAAAATGAGTTGGCATGTTAACAAGAAAGTTATTTCATTGCAGCCCTCATAGCAATTACAGCAGGCGAAGTCTTTCCTTTCTGTTTATCCTCAATTCCATACAATACTTTTTGTATGAACTCCCATGTAACAGAACACTGCCATGGGTAGTGTACATCTAAGATGTAGAACAGCTTAAAGCAGACATCAACAGCTTTAACTAGGCTGGTCTGTTCCAAACCTTGTCCATCAACTACAACAAAAACTTGACTGGGAGTGTCTCGAATACCAGTAACCAATATAAACGGTGATCGACTTGCTTCCTCTAGGTACTTCGGCATATTTGTGCCAATCTATATGTAAAAAAATTACTCTTTTGCCACTACTGTAGTACTACTGCGAGTGTAAACAAACTTTATAATTCCTTATGAATGCCATGGAGTGACTGTTTTTTTATGACTGACCACTTAGCAAAAAGCTAGTTAGACTTACAGGTTGAACATCCAAAAAAGATCTCATTGCTTCATCAATGCTGCATCTTCTTTTATTATTTCTTCCAGTGGGAAGAATACATGGCAGGAGATTGATGGCAATGTTCAACTTCTGTTCATCTATATATATAACAATTTGAAAGATTTCTCAAACTTTAAATATACAGGCAGCTTGAGACTGCTGATATGGTTTTTGATAGGTATTGAAATTTGGGACAAACAGTTGATGGTACAAACATCTTCTACTGCTGACCCCAATTCAAAGTAAGAATATGTAAAAATGAAATGTAAAGCAATTAGTGTGGTAGAGAGGGTAAAATATAACCAATTTGATGCTCACCAGATATTAAATTTTCTCTAATGACATTTAGGTATGATATCCACTTTGTTCCAGATTGTAAATCTGCATATGTCAACATCTTTTCAACAAAAGCAGGTACCAACCTAAGAAAAAGGTTCTCTGCCACATCTGGATAGAGACATTTGAAATCCATTTCAACCTAACAAGAAAGATTAAGGTATAATATCAGTAATAACTGATACCACATTTGAATACATTTTGCACTTGCTCATTTATGTTACATAATAATATATAATTATCGTACTACAGTACATGATTTACCATGCCTGGCGTGTCAAACAGTCTGGGATATTCGAGTATAATGCCACGTATAGGTAATTCTGAGTTCTCCCTAATCCACTTAGCTCGATTAAGAACAGTCCTCTTCATGTATGCATTTACAGTTGAGACTGGTTCAGTATGTTGTTTCAGCCACTCTTTCATTCCTAAGTGCTCATTTTCGGTTGTAGTGGATTCTGCTTAAGGTCGAGAATGAGCAATTAGTAAAATAGCAATTTGATCAAATACACAATTGCCAAGTATAGTTGCTAGCATTTATATATTGATGTACCTGGCAATGCTGTTACTGAACTTATTAGATTTGAAGGTGTAGAGATTTTTGGTTGTCTAATTGGGTTGTGTTCATTGCTGCGTTTTCGTACATTTCTTAGCCTTTCTTCCAGCCAACCAGTGGCGGAGTGTATACCTTTCCCAGGTGTGTACCATGCTTCCTAAAAGGCGCATTTAAGAAAAATGTTAATGGTTATTCTCCATTGATATTAAAAATATTAGACTATAGGTTTAAAAAAGTAGCTTTCTTGTTGAACTTGCTACAAATCTGCCTTAATTGCTTCACAAATTTATGTTCTATATTGGTGATTAATAACACAGTAAGATAGATTCACCAGTACGTTTGTGTACAATACATACAAGCAGCAATATATTACAATACTGATCATACAGGTTGTACTGCTATGCATAAAATATGTACATGCAATTATATTGCTGCTGTGGCTTTCAACTCTATACCCCTTCAATAACTTACATAGCCACAACCTTCGTCATCCTTTAAAACAGGGAATTCTGTTATTATTTCTCTTGCCATGCTGATCTTCACCTCTGCTGTTGGCCTATTTTTTAAAAAATACCGCTCCTTTGATTTGACAATATATTTCCTGTTTACATGTTTAAAAAATCTCGTCTACTTGCACTCTGGCCTTATAATTTTTTGGATATCATAAAATATTAACCTGTCTCCATAATTTGCAATAATATCAGCAACAAGTATCTGGACCATTTTGATCCTCTTTTTCCTGCTCAATTCGCCTCTATCAAGTTCTGTCAGGATGGCATCACCTTCTGTACTGCCTTTCAGAATTGATCTGACATTCTTAATGGAATAAACATAGTACATTGTAAAAAATTATGAGCAAATTAGAAGTAAGAGTAATAGTGTAAACTTAAAATGCTAGTTTCCACTTACAAAGTCATGCTTGGATTTTTTAACATGTCGAGCGCAGTTTGTGTCTCCAAGTATTTCGGTATTTAAGGTTACATTTAGAGGTCTCTTGGTGGTTTGCAGTTTCGTGTCATCTCCTCTTTTGGAAGTTGAAGGAGTTGAAGATGCCAAAACAACACATTCTGTGCCCCCCCTTTCAGCAGTCTAAAATGATAAATATATCTATTAGTATATCAAGGGAGCCAGTGTGAATTTCGTCATGCCCATAGAATGTAACAATAATAATTTTTAATGGATGAATAATAATAACAATCCTTTTGAAAATGTTATATTACTAGTGTATCATTTCAATCGGTCAATCACCTCTTCAGTATATATTGTCTTCCATCCTGGGGTATAGTACCTTTGTCATAATTTTTTTAGTTATGCAACGCAACTTCTCTTGTAAAAAATGTTAGCTTTCCTGTCTCAGACCTCTCAAACTACTGCGCAATGCCTAACATGCACGAAATAATGTAATATCCTAGAGGGAACTATATTTTGCTTAAGAAAATTGATGGTTGAGACTCTTAAAAACTTGTGTGACGTACGTCAATTAAGTTGTTTGCAAGAATTTCCAAAACTGACAAGAATGGACCACTTGCATAATAGACCAACTTTTGATTCAGGTGACAAAAAGGGAATTTCCGAAAAGTGCATACAAAACTTGTCAAGTTTGACTGTGGAATATTGTAAAGTGCCGAATATATAGCCATGCAAAGTTGGCGAATTTTGTATACTTTTGTATTACGGCCGGACGTGTGTAGTATTAGTTACACGCTTCCAGTCGTAGTAAAAAAGTATACAGAATTGGCAACTTTGGATGGCTATATATTCCGTACTACTTGAGATTTTGCAACCAAACTTGGCAATTTTACTAATTTTGGTATGCTCTTTTTAGCTGTGGTTATTATTTCCTGCTTGTCACCTGATCTGAAGTTGGCCTATTATGCAAGTGGTCCATTTCCAAAAGAAGTTACGTTTTGGTTAAAATTATGACATAGATACTTCAGTGAATTCTGTGACGAAGAGCAACATAGGAGTGTTGGTCACCCTCGTTGTAAGACTTGGATGCATGATACGGGTAATAATCATATAAGTTGTCAACGGAGACCATAGACCATGAAGTTGCATGTGGTTGGTGAATAACATATGTGTGTGTGTGTCTGTCATATCGGATGGTAAGCCATTCCTCCGTAATTAGCTTAACACTGCTGTTTTCTGTGACCATGACATAAATAATTTTCTGAAATACAGGCAAATAATCAGACTTCCAGTTACAACTAGGAGGTTTTTGCAGTATTTGATACCATGAACTATTGACCATTTGGCAACGTAAACTTCTTCGAATAAACGGATCCCTAATGTTCTGCTTAAAAACTCTGCTCTCTCTAATGAAGCAACAATTTCTATTGATCCAGGACCTATTTCAACATCCCTTTCGACCAGGTCTTTGCCACTGATAATGTTGTAACACAGATACATTTGTTGTCTAGAGCACAATGTTTTCAAAATGTTTCTGTAGTTGCAAACAATATGGCCTAACCGCTTGAAAAAACGGTGTTTGGCCTCAAAACGCATAGTCCAATAGTGTAATAACGGACCAAGCAAACGCATTTGTTCCGGGTAGTGTGTCATAAAGTGGTGTTTAGGTTTAGAGTACGACCTGGGAACAAATCCAAAAAATGCTCATGGTGATCTATGATTAAATGTTTTAAAAAGAATGTCTCTTCAGTGGTGACTTGAGGAGAAAAGATAAAATCCATGCATTCTAATAATAGAAGTAGAAGCTCCAAGTGTTGGTGTCCTTCAGGTACTTTATCACCAATCATCAGCGGCAGGTACCGAATAAGGCACCACATCTGTGACGCCGTCTGTCCCGATGCACTATCTGGGTTTTGCAGTTTGTTGATAGTTATTGACGATGGTTTGTTCTTGAATCTGTAGTGGCATAGTCGAAACTAGTAATTCTACTGTTTAGTAAATCCAAATCGAATAGACCTTCCCCAATTAGATTTGCCAAAACAAGGTGGACCTCTACACCACACACGCCTTCTAACAAATCATGCATGACATCAGGTGCATAGTTTGTAGTAATGTGGAAGTGTTGAATTTCGTTTAAAAGACAAGGTGCTTTCACGCCTGTAACACCTGGATCGTTTATATGTAAGTCTTCTTCATAGTTTTCAACATTCCGAAGCTGGTTAGGACGTGCAGTTGGGCTGGTTTGCATTTCATTTCTATGCATTTTGCAATGTCTACAGTAATGATTGCTGACAAAACTTTCGACAAAACCAAGTATTCCGTTCACCCCTAAGTTGTCACCTGTAAGCTGTGCAACACTAACACGTACAACGCCTTTAAAATCTTCAGAATCAATGTATAGACCTTCTCGCTCGAGTAAGGTGATGTCATCGACAACTGGTTTCAAGATGGGATCAAATCCGTACTGCTTTCACATCAGCAGCATTGTATAATGTAATCAAAAAACAATTACAGAGGGATGAACGAAACCTTGGAGGAATATTGAGTAGGGTACAATATATAACGCCTATTTTATGCAATCCGGCCTTGGAGCCAAGTGGATTTGCAATCTCGCACTCATCTACATACAGCAGCAATCTGATATTCTTTGGATCTGCAAAAAAAATTTGCTCTCTGCAAAAGAGTCCATCATGGAAGTCTCGCATTACACCATCGGTGCTTGGATGATATTGTAAAATTGCCCTCATGAAACCCTTACTTTCCAAGACACATTTCAAGAGCTCATAGATTGGAACGTACTGAAATGTTAAATGCTTGGCAATTTGGTCGACATGGCCTGTTTCAGGGTTGTTTCGAGGATAATATGCAATACCCAATGGGATCTCGCGCGGCTTGACATAATAACCACTCTCACAAAAATATTTTTGTTGTTGGTGTGCAGTTTCCAAGCGTTCAAAAGGATTTTGAAGTTGATCAAATTCATGAAGAAGATTTTCTTTACTAATCTCATCATTGATATTTTGTCCCTGTAAAAATTGCTCAGTTTTTGCTTTCAATGAACCGATAACATCGGAAAACAAACTTGAAGTCTCGGAAACAACATGGTCAACAGTTGACTGCACAGTGCTACTTGATGCTTTCATTTTTGCAAGAAAAATTGCAGCTGTCTTTGTAACATCTTGTGCATAGTCAAGTTGTCTTTGACCTTCGACTGGAGCAGCGGGTATTGGGTTCGGTATTTCAATACCATTAATATTATTATTAAGATTTAGATCAACAGGATCGACATCATCATCGTCATTTGCTCCTCCCTCCATATCTCCATGTTGATTTTCAATATGTTTAGTAAGAGCCGCCGAGTATCGAAATGTTCGCATACAGCCATTTTGGCCACAGGTAATAGGGCACGTAAACATCCGCCCGACCAAAAGGGCATGCTCATTTTTAAGGTGCCAAATCAATCCTCTAGAATTTTCCGAAACAGGCTGGTTGCATTTGGAACACGTGTACCGTGGCATGTCACTATAGAATGACAATATCTTTCGTTATAGAATTTCTCGAAGTAAGTTGTAAAGGACAGAGGTTAACGTTGCCTAATGCGGCATATGACAATGCGTGGACATATGACAGATTTAAATAGTACTGATCACTGATTAGTAAATAGGTAGCGTCCGAAATGATAAACACACTCACCTGATATGAAACAGGTGAGATTTTGTTTGTCGCCTTCCCACCCCATCCCTCCGCCTCTACGCATTAGAAAACCCCTGCCTGTGTATAATGACCACTACCCATTTTTTATTATCTTATTAGTCATGCATCCAATTCATTGAAAAACATCGTTATGCACGTTAATAGTTCTTAGTCACAGAATTCATCAATGCCAAAAATGCTGCTCCCAAAATATTTCTTTCATCTATTATTTTAATAGACAAGTGAGTGAAGTGAAAAAGTCTTTCAAAGATTGCAGAAAATCAGGCTCTCTAGTACACGGTGGTAGTATGGGCTATTTTTTTTTCTACAAAGCGAAGAAAAGAAATCGACCCGGAAAGAGTTCGACAATGGCCCGTTTGATTGGCTAGATTGTGATTGTGCTATGACATACAAGGTTAACTAAAATTCTTCAACTACAGAAATCGATTCCTTAAAACAAAACTTGTCAAATAGCTAATTTCGTTTAATTATGAAATATGCATTGGAAAATATATTGCTAGGGAAAATACCTGAAGTTCTTGTAATTTTTTCTGCAGCTTGATGCGTTGCCCAACTGGCAAGTTCATTTCTTTTAAAACGCTTTCGTTAAGTAACATAAACGCTTCTTCGTCTATCATATTTTCTGCCAAAAAGGTATTTTAAGGCGTTATTAAAAGTCGTGAAGACAACACTGAGATAGCTTTTACGCTTTCGCCGTACAAATATATCAATTTCGTCTGAATGTCAATATTTAAGTTGTTTTTTGGCGACTTGGTACGGTAGAAAGCCATAATATGACGCTTAATATATCTTTAGCTTTGACATTGTTTTCTTTCTAGATATTCTGGCAATTGAAATTGAATATCGACAGAAACAAATCTCTAGACTTCAAATATACCAATTAGTTTCGAAAACGTTCATCCTTCTAGCCTCTTTCGTACAAATATATTTATTACTTTAGGTATTTTTTACAGTGTTAAAACTTCAAAGTTTCGAAAAACGTATCGGGCTTTGTTATTTTTTCGCTTAAAACTCGCTTATACATATGAAATATCGACAGAAACTAAACACTAACCTTCCAATATATCAGTCAATGATGAGAGATTCCATTCCTCGAGCTTTCCTCGTACAAAAATGTCCATTTTATGTCTTTTACGACTACGAATATGATTGATATATCCACTGGCGCTGCGAAGCAGTCGTCAATAGCAAATTGGCGGGAAAAGAAAAAAGGCTATAGGTCCCCCAAGACCTGAATTTTGTATTTGAAAAGCATACCTCATTTCACTGATCTCATTATATTATGATTACATCATTTCAAAACTAAAAGCAGAGCGGAAAATACCGGAAATCAAATCAATCATGTCCATGGCATCATGTCCCATCCCAGTGAACTCAGTTTTTCACCACCCACATTTGTAGCAACTAGCAAGGCAACTAAATAAGCTGCAATATAATGGCTTTAAAAGCGTCATCATTTATAAAAGTTTTCAAAGATCCTATATTGGTGAGAGTATGTTTTGCTTTTGTTACTTTTATAAGTTTCACTATTTTATTTAGTAAATTAGTTGAAGTTTTGAAGGCTTAATATTCGTGCATAAACATGTGGATTTGCAGTCTCAATCACCGTAATTCATTTATTTGTTCAATAGGCCTTTACTGGAAGCTTATTATAATCGGGGAGGGGCGGGGTGCAAAATGTAGGGAGAGTGCTTTCTTAATTATCCGAAACTGGGTACTGTAAATGCACCAATCCACCCATTATGAAAAGCAGAACAGTAATCGATTTCTATCCTGAGATTGTATAGAAATACTCTTTGTATTCATTAAATTTGTAATCCATATACTTATTTATAAAAACAACAAAAGTGCATTTTGTGTAATACAATATTCAATCAGCATTTCATTATCAATTATAGTCCCATGAAAATATTTATATATTGGTTTATATATTGATGCAAAGAATGTATCATCAAATTGATTTTTCACTGACTTTTTCTAAAATGTAAACCCTTGGAATTATTTCCCTTTTATTAGAATTTTTGGAGGTAAATCTGAGAAATGCAGTGCCTGTATGGGATGTATATAGATATATGTAAATATATACATAATATATCTAATTGGACTGCTTATAGGGAATATTGGCCAGGAATAGTAATAGCTGTAGTTAGGCTCAAATACCCCCACTCAATTCTTTCATTGTGGTGGCATCCTTGTTTTAAAAAAATGGCGTGCAGCCTATTAGCATGTTCCCTCTGTCCTGACCAGTACCTCTGCCAGTACCTGCCTTGGCTACCCATATACATTGTCTTTTCAACAAGATGTGCTGTTCTTGAGATCTGCAATATGTAGGCTGACTTGTTTTTTTAATTAAACTATGTACAATTAGTTTCTGGTAATTATCTTGTTATTTTTATTCTAATTATTCAAGATTTTTAATTAATATAAGGCATAGTGTGGCCATTAAGTGTTAAAGTCAGAGGTGTAATCAGATTTAAATGATATCTCCTAAAATTAAGTATGAAAACATGATAATTGATTCAAATGCTATAAGCCTACAAATTCTTGCTGAGCATGATTCTACATGTTATACAAATTAAGTGAATAGTTTATACCCTCACAGAGGAAAGGTCTATTATTCCAAGTTTAATAGCATGAGTATGCTTTAGATAAATATATTGCAGTACAAAAGGAAGGAATATAGCAGTACAAAAGGAGGGAATTGGGCCTTTTTAAAGGTAAAACAGTAGGGAAAAGCCCCTTTCTGTCAAAATTGTAACATTATTATGTAGTGTCCTGGGGGGGAATTATTTGCCACTTTAACCTCTATAACTCTTTCCATCTGTTTCATGATTTCTTAGCAACTTTTTAATGGTTAAGTACAAATGTGCATACAGTTTCTATTGTATGGTAGGCTATACATACAAACTTCACACCTTAAACAATAACCTGTCCTGTAATTTAATAGTTTGTAAGGCTAAAAGCTATATTTTATGTCTTCTATGTTGAGATTCCTTTTCTAATTCAGTTAGGATATTGCTTTTTGGTTGGCTTTTTATTCAACGCAATAAAATGTAAAGTCAGCAAATACAACAGCTATCCCCACGTCTGAGCAGAAATGGTTTAAAACCAAGCAATTAATTTTTCTCATCTATCAACTACCGATATCAACAAATGATGGCGAGATAGCCATGGCTAAATAGACTTATTAAGCGAGAAACTAACTTTTCGCCACTCTTCGCCGGCATTTGAATGCAATATTTTATCAGTATTATCTGGTATTAACGTCAAAGCTGTTTTGTGACACGGAAAAAGTTTCTTCGTGAAAACCTCTCTTCTTTCCTTTGTTTCTAAAGTGAGGTATTCGAAGAAATACAGGCCACTATATCTCTCCATTTAGGCTAAAATTAACAGCCGCCATTTTGTATTTTCGCTTCACCAGGAAACCTGGTCAGTCGGGTTTTTGTTTGTTCTACCAGGAAAATGACCAGAATCCTGGTTGACTGAAATTTATTTGACCCATACGTGGTCAAAAATTTTTGACCAGGATATCTTAACCAGGTTGTTTTTAGAGTGCAGAGTTTGAAATTCCCAAAGGACTTGAATATCGGTTCAAATATTATATCTTACATGCATGCACTTTATTATAAACGTGTTCCTTTATTTTGTCGTCTCTTTGACGATTGGTATGATATAAAAACACCTTTTTTCTGGGACCTCTTGGGGAAGCAGTATGTTTCCGAGCCTTTTAACTTGTGACTATAGTCACATGAGTACAAGATCTTGCGTTCTTGCCAAGCTTTTTCAAAGCAATTATCATACACTTTCAAAATTACTACAATGTATACACATTAGCATTGACTTAAATTTGAGAGGGGTTTGTTTTTTTATACACCCTGTATATTAAGGTTATCAATAATAAATGGTTGAATTCCTGTCGATTAAAAAATAAAATTACGAATTTCTTTCAATGGAGAAAATCCTTTTAACACGTTCATCATTTCGTTAAATTATCTAACATCATCTTCGCATGCTGTCCTATTTCTGTCGACAGGGCGCAATCGCCTGCAGGAGGAACGATAGTGTTATGTCGACATCAACATTAATTTAGACAAAAAAAAGCTGATTAATTTCATATTTAAACAGAGTATTTTAGCTGGGTTTTCGACATTAGAGGTTGTCAAAAGCAGCTAATCCATATTTAATTGATGTCGCATATTCAGTTCTTCAGCATTATTATATCGCAACCGATTTAAATCTATTTTAATTGATATGCAAATAAATATATTTTGATTGATATGCTGCCATCATTCATATCGAATTGTTTCAGCAGCGCTATCATCTTTTTTTATATAATACAATATCATGATTTCAAAGCTATTATTAAAATGAGACATTATAGATAAAAGACATTATGAAAAGAAAGAACTCTGTTAAATTATTTCCTCCATATATTACGGTATATATATATAATGGTCTCATATTGATATAGAGAAGGTCGACTTAATTATTTGTTATTTTATAGCTACTTCATCGAAATAAGTTAAGGCTTACCTTCAAGACTTGAATTGAAGCAAAAGTTCATTTCGTTGTCATTGTGGACAAGTGTAATTACTGATATTTTGAAGTAAATGAAAGCAAAAAAAATGTGATAATAAAATTTCATTTTTGATAAGCTTTTAGATATGTATATGAAAATGCTTGAATTGAAATCTTCTGCCGGCACGTGAATGCATAGAAAGAAAGTTCAACTGCGCCTGAATGATTAGAAAGACAGTTCAACAGCAGCAGCAGCACTTTGATTTTGTTAATTTGTTGATGGCGCAGTGGAGCTCGGTTTATAAAACATATGAAGTTATAGTCGAATACGCCCACAATAATTTTATACACCTTCTGATTCGCTGAAGGATGATTAAATTATAGCCCGGCCCTGCAATAATCTTTTATCATGAAGGAAAAAATATATATTAAAACATGGCTATATTAAAAACGAATCTATCATATATTAGATATATTATATTATTATATGACAAGGGTTCATTCTGGAATTCGATTGGCTGTTGATAGGTCCGGATTTTCCCGCAATGCCCACGGGCATTATACGTAATTCTTATTGCCCTGTGAAAAACAAAGCAAAACTGAAGCAAAAACGTTAAATTTCTGCTAATTGTATGTAGATGAAATAAAAATTGACGAGATGACTGGTGAGAAGCATATTCAAAATGGGAGTTTTATTTGCCTGAAATGCAATGAATATACAGTTGATCGAACAAAATTTTTTAAAACCATTTCAAACTTTACATCCGACTTATCACATTAAATACGGAACTTTTAAGCCAGTTAAAGCATGAAGTTTTATGATTTGTTCAGATCGTTCTTCATAAATATTAAATATGAAGTTTTGATTATATTTTACAAAATAGAGTGTTTTTTCCCTTTTGTTCGCTAATGTCGTCAGGCCGCCTCGAAAAATAATTAAATTACAATATATGCATGAAATATGCCACATAATAAAAAACTTACTAACTTCGACTGTTTGGTCTATATACCGGTGTCGTTATCGCTCGGTCAATACACCAAGACCTTGGTTTGATATTGTATAGACCTCACGCTCAGTTAAGGCTAGTTTCCACTCAGGAAAATTCTCCTTTGGATCGGACAAAACAGGGAAGTTTCCTTTCCTGAGGTTCCTGTCCGTTCCGATCCAAAGGAGAACTTACAGTACTGTCCAGAAATAACCTAACATAACCTCATACTGCGGTTGCAGTTCGGTTAGGTTACGGTTCCTTTGCAGTTCGGTTGTGGTCGACCGATAGAAACCGCAGACGACCGCAAGGGAAAAAATACGTTCGCACAGGCCGTTCGCTTCCGAACGAAATGTTATTAACAATGAGAACGACAACACAATAACCAAATCGAAAAAAATTTAAGAAATGTCTGTCATACCGAGCATGAGGCCGAGGTTTAACCTCCGTCTCACAGCGATTCGACCTCGGTCTGACCTCAGTTCAACCACGATCAGACCTAGGTTTGACCTAGGTTAACCACGGTTTTTGGTAGGTTATTTCTGGTCCACCTTTGGCTTTCGTTCAATTAGCATGTAATCAGTTACGCCAACATTCAAATGTAGCTTAATATTGGCTAAATCAAATTAATTTCCAATTATCTTGAAATAATCTTAGACATGAAACATTAATTTCATCTGTGACTAAGGTCCACATTACACGACACAGGATTAGCTGGTCACGACACTTTCGTTTGCCGTTAACAAGAAATGGTTTGTAGTAAAAGCTCATTGGTTTGATAGATTTGGTGGATTTTTTTGGCTCAGATATAAATATTCACAGCCTTTTAACAGCTTAAAAAATGTGACTGTATTCAATAGCGACCCCGTATAGTGTAATTGGGCCTTACGCGTGAGATTAACTATAGTAATGACATCAGATGACCTAAAATTTAGGTTTTTAATTGATTAATATTTTGCCCTAATTATCGAATGCTAAGAAAAGTATTTGCTCAGGTAACGATCATTTCAATTTTTACGACATTGCTCAGAGTAAACCAAGTTATATATGCAAGAGATCGCAGTAAACAGCCAACTCAAGAAGAAAAAGAAGTGCCAAGCAAGTTAAAACCTTAAACATCAAAATATTTCGTTATAGGTACGCAAAGATTCATGGTCCAGGTGTGTTGTGCATACGCAGACTTATTTACGCGTGCACACATATAATTTTGCATCAAACAATCGGAAAGAAATTGTTTTAGTTGATTTGCGTTTTGACTTTTATATGACCAGTGACGTACCAGAATTATTAAGGAGCACATTTATATATCCATGTATGTTCACTGACCGCTAGAACAATCGATTTGTGTTAGGACTATATGTAGAACATAAATACAGGGGTATCCCCCAACCGAACTAACGACCTGGCGACGTCACATGTATGTGTATGGAAACCGTTTCTTGAATTAGCTGTATATTTGCACGCTTACCATAAGAAACTTCGTAGCAAATATTTGAATCAATCGACTTTTATGCTATAAAGACGATACAAGATTTAGTCAAAAAGCTATTTTTTATTTTATTTAGCAAAATCGGCACAGTTCAAACATTTGGCACATCTTATGATGGTTTTTCCTTGATATTAGGACGTTTATTCAAATTAAGTTCTTGGATATTTTCCGTAAGTTTAATTGCCAATACCTATCTACCTGAACATTTTCTATCAAGAAATAATTTTTTTAGTATTAATTAATGATTCGTGATATTTCCTCATCTAAGACAGAAAGTCGCATTTTCCAGGATCATTACGCTAAGGAAGCGATAAATACTTTTCAAAATTATGAATTTTATAATGTTTGTTACCACTTCTCCCGACGGATAGAAAAGAACAAGTCGATCGCAGGAAAAAACGAAAAAATACATTGGGAGAATGAAAAGGTAGCCGTACGGAAGCTATGATTTTGCCTTCGGACAGCTTAACGAAATGCATCATGTCATCAGTAAAAACACCTACCATTTCGGAATCCATGTAAAAAGCATTCGGAAAAGATTTAAAAGGAAGAGTAAGCACATTTCTCATACCATTTCTTAGAAAGTTCATAGAAAATAAACAAAATTTCCCAAGGTCAGTTAATGCATTCATTTGGGATGACACTAATACTAAACTACGAGTCATATTAGTACCAGTTAAACAGAACCATTTAACTGATTCATTCAACTCTCCCGTTGAACGTACAAACCATCTATTGCCACATTCTATTTCCCACAATTCATAAATTTTCCTGCAACTGCAATGTAACATAACAGCACACCCATCACAACTTATTGCGACAGAAGTGGACTCTTCACCAGGCGCCTCTCCAAGAATCCAAGAAGGTATTTCTTGATGACAAAGATTTTCTCCACAAATTTTCAAAATAGAAATTCTCCCGTCAGTGCTAATTACAAGAACATCTTTTGCAAACTTAACAACACGACTAAAATCTAAAAAAGATTCTTCAGTTTGATTTCCTAAGATATTTGACTTGAAAGGTTCATAAGCATATTTAACAAGCACGCCTTCACAGACCAACCAAAGATACGACTCAGACCACTAACACGCCACTGCTCGTTGTTTCAGTGCAACAGTTTGCAATGTTTCCCCACTGTCGATACTTCTTATTGAAAGAATGCAATTTTCAAAACAGCACGCTACATACAAGGTGTCTGGAGATAATGCACAGCAATCTATTTCGCCGTTGACGACAAAAGAAGCATCAGGAGATTCCAGAGATATAATACATACTAGGCTTGGATCATAATTATGTAAAAAGAATTTTGTCTCTTCTAATTTTGAAATGTGATGGAAATCATATACAGCAGGCAAACAATCAATCTGAAAGACGTCAACGATTTTTTGGTTTAGAAAATCGTATATTATCAGAGCTACAGCACCTTCGGAGGAGTAATCGCGAAATGCTACACACTTTTTTCCCTTCCATGAAAAGGTTTTTGAACATTTTTGATTAGAAAGAAGGACTATCTCACCAGATGGCAAGCAAACATGATCAAAGCTAATCCTACCGGATGGTTCGTCATGATCCAATACATCATCCGGTGAATGTATCTGAATGGAAACTTTACTTGACAAATACGGCGCAACAGAATTCTTTTTAATATACGGCACTTCTTCTAAATTCTTAGAGTGCAAGACATTCCTACACATTGATGAGCCGTAATACCGATTCAAAAGAAGAATGTAGGAGCTGCACAAACTAAACAAACAACAAGACACAGGTCCACAATCCACATTATGAACTTCTGCTAATAGGGTTTTCCTCATTACATCCCACACTTGGATCAATCTCCGCCCTAATGTAGCAAGTTTCATTCCACACGAAGAAAAAGAACAATTCCAAATGTCTTTGGGGCCGTGTGCTATGAAGGGTACTTCCTTTTGTTCTTTAACAAGGACGCATGACTGAATTGAATTTAATAACAAATAGGAGGAATCAGGAGAAAAGGCAATGAAGTAGACAAAATAACCGTGTATGTGTACTTGTATTTTGAAAAGAGTCGCGAGGCTTGGTATTTTAAGCAATTGTAATGTCCGTGTCTCTATATTAAAGAGGGCACACATCGTATTGTCCGGTGAGAGAGAACTGGTATTTGAATCAACTGACAAGGCACAGAAGACATGATTTAAATTATGATTCTCTTCGTTTGTCACACGTTCTATCCAAATCTCATTTATTGTATGCAAGATATTTCTGGCAACATTTTTAGGACAGACTTTATTTTCTGAAAAATCAAAGTATCCGTTTGCAAGATGTTTCAAATAATTGTCACAATACGCTGGAGGGCCTTCTGGCATAAAATATACCTCTTTTATTCTTTCCAAGGAACAATGCAGTTGAATGATGCCATAATAAATATCTTTGGAAAGATCACTACCATACGTGTCAAGGATTTGGTTCAAATCAATATCGGTGGTGCAATTACAAAATTTTAGTCTTAAATAGTTTACGCCAACATGCACCAACCAGTGAAATTCCTCCACCTTACCTGTATTCACCAAATATCCTCTACCATTTTTTAAAGCGTACTTATTCTTGGGTGAAGTTTGAAATTCTAAAACGGACTTAAAACATTCTATCTCACAGAATTCCTTCTCACAAGCATGCCAAAGACGTCTATTTCCATCTTTAACATCTGCAACAAACGCATGTTCCTCATACCCATTCAACGTCATCCAATCCCATAATGACTTATGATAAAGAGTCAGGCAACCATCATAAACTGGAAGAATTTCTGACATAATGTCAATAATCGCCGTGCGTATTTCAAATTCTTTCCAGGGCAGACTCATGCAAGTAAAAAGAATTTTCAGCGGGAGAGGCAGGAACGCAGCGGCAATAACACTGATAAAACTTTTTAAGATAGATGAAAAGGTATCTTGCTTTAAACGTTGGAGGCGGCTTTTCAAACGTTTGAACTGTTTTTCGTAATATCCGGCAATACCATTGGGGATGCAATAACTTAAGTCGGGTTCAATTCCCAAGCCCTTTTTTCTTAATTCATGAACTAAGTGATAAGCGTACAAAAACGATCCCTCACACTTACGAATAACTAACCTTAAACTATCATAATCAAGATTAGGTAAATTACGACGAATAAAAAGCGCAATATCTTGATTGTGATCTTCATCATCAGGACGGATTTCTAACGGCTGTAAATGTTGAAGAACCTTCCGTACTTGTAGCTCCGGTCTGCAGGAAATGAATATCTTAATCCAATCAGGCAGTTCACAAAATTTCTCGGATATCAACTCCAAAAATTCACTCTTCATATCAGTTTTGCTCTCGTCCAAGGCATCAACAATGATCAACATTGGATCATTTCTTCGAAGAGAGTGTAGTGGATCGTTTAAAAGAACACGAAATGCGTCTGACAGCAAGTCCCGAGAATGTTCACGACGAAGGATTTCGGTTAGTTTATCACGGAATCCAACAACATTATCACACATTTGGCTGGCAAGGGACTGGAGGATTCTGTGAGGATTGCTGTAATCAGAATTTCTAAAGTCGCAGAAATGGTGAGCTGCCAGTTGGCCACGTTCTCTATACAGCTCAGAGATCTTTCCAGACAAAACACTTTTTCCAGCGCCTGGACCTGCAGTTAGGATCATAACCTTGGTTTCTTTACTCACAAACCAACTTGAGAGTTTATCAAACAACCATTTTCTAGTTCCTTCATGAAATTTCTTACAAAGGTCGTCAATCTTTCCAGTAAAGTCAAATTTAGCGAGTTTCTCGACATTTGAGTGATGAACATTCTCATCTACAGTTTTTCTTAGCTTGACTACTTCACATTTAACATCACTTAAATCTGATTTTAAATCATCGTTTTGTAGTTTCCATCCAACAGTTGAGTGATGAACATTCTCATCCACTTTTTTTCTTATTTTGACTACTTCATTTCTAACATCAATTAATTCTGATTTTAAATCATCGTCTCGTAGTTTCGATTCGACACTTGAGTGATGAACATTCTCATCTACTGTTTTTCTTAGCTTGACTACTTCACTTTTAACATCAATTAATTCTGATTTCAAGTCATCGTCTTGTTGTTTCCATTCTTTTAATCTTTCAGTATAACTTTCTTCTTCAGAGCTGAGAGGAGCCACTTTCAACTCATCAATATCCTTTTGAGGAATTCCCAAGTTGACCAACGGTACCGAAATTTCTCGCCACAATTTTTCAAACGTTGTGTCGTCTAAACTTGCAGTTGGAATATGACCATACACTTCATTCCTGAACATTTTGACTCTCAAAATGTTTGCTGATATAGATGTATCGCTACCTGGAGGCATAACATTCCACCCAGTCGCTGGTGGAGACAATCCACAAATATTTCGAAGTAAAACAGTCAGTAAGGTGATATCGAAGTTGTTTGAATCTGGTGCACCAGATATTGGAAAGAGTAGATCCCATTGCGGGGCTTTAATTATATTGTATCGTATTCTCTGTAGGGTGGCTCTGTTTGCATTCAATGCGGAGGACAAGGTGGAAGGTGGATGCACCGAATGTAGAGCAAGTCTCAAAGCATCTCCTCCTTTATCTACCAACAGTTGACAAACCCGGGAATAATTAGCTTTGCTTTTTATTGGATCCATTAAACTGATCTTTAACTTGAAAATCCCTGAAACCAGAGAAGCAAATGATTGGGAAATTGTTCTGATAAAAACAAGACACAATATTCAGATAATACTTCCGCTCTACTTTAAAGTCATTGTCAAACGTATTCACAAAATTTACAAGCATGCTACGTTCCTTATACCAGCTACTCAGGGAAAAGGATGACCAAATTCAGTGAGTTAAAATGGAACACCATATCTTCACAAGCATGCGGTCATATATTCGAAGGAAAAACCTTAGTTTGTTTGTTAAGGTGGTTCCCAATACGTGTAAATAGTACAGTTGGTGACACGATCTATAAAGATCAGACGCGCATGGAATAATCGCGATTCGTCAAAAACGGCTTGTATATTCTTATTTATTTTTCGACAATACGTACGGCTAAAATGTGTGACCGACGGCTAGAATGTGTGAAAACGTTTCCGGAAAAGGCTAAAAGACTGTTAAAAATAAAAAACATACCCGATAAACTTCTTAGTTTGGATTATTTACGTTTTTTTCGCCTGGCAATACGTTGTTTTATAATCGAATTGCCGTGACACGTTGCTGTGGTAACAATATTTGCAATTTCATTGGCTGTTTCCCGACTAGGATGTCCTTATAAGGAGTTGTTGACGTATTAAAATTCTAAAATGGCTTGCAGATTTACAGTTTTTATAGTTTATTCCTTAAAATAAATTTGTTGTATTTTTTTGTGTTTGATAAAATCAATAAAGTCAGGGTTAAAAAATACGAGATCTGGGCCTCGCAGCAAATAACATATATATTAATATATATATATATATATATATATATATATATATATATACACCTATTTGCAAAAACGTTGGCCGCAGATAGATAGATAGATAGATACTCGAAGCCTAATTAGAATTGCATATGATTACATTTGCATGGGATTTCAATCATATTACACAACATATGCAATTCTAATTAGATTTCGAGTATCTATCTATATATCTATCTGCGGCCAACGTTTTTGCAAACGGGTGTATATATATATATATATATATATATATATATATATATATATATATATATGGCTCCCAATTAGTACAGTTTGTGATGCGATCTATAAAGATCAGACGCGCATGGAGTAATCGCGATTCGTCAAAAACGGCTCGCTTTGTTTAGACTTTAAAGGCGTTGGTAGAAGTTTTTAATTCGAAGTGTATATTCTTATATACGATCGTCTTATGCTGCACTGATTCCATTTCAAGGCTATTGTTTTTAGGGTAAGTGGATATAAACATATATGAACATACTCCCCCAATGCAATTATTGTTTCAAGCTAAGCGACTGGTTTTTATCGCTAAATACTGGCAGAAAAAGACATGTTTTTCTATTATAATGGCATTAAACAGCTAGTGCTAAACAACTTCCTACGCCTCATCTGGAGCTCCTCAGCCCTTTCACCCCGCAACAAACTCAGAATCTTCAACACAAATGTGAAGTCAGTGCTGCTGTATGGTTCAGAAACATGGAGGAAAAAAAATACCATCACCCACAAACTACAAACTTTCATCAACAGATGTCTCAAAACCATTCTCAATGTTTGCTGGCCAGATGTCATCTCCAACAGAGAACTATGGGAGAGAACGGGACAAAGCCCCATTGACGTTGACATCAAGAAGAGAAAATGGGGATGGATATGTGAAACCCTACGAAAAACTAAATTCCAACAGCACAAAACAGGCCCTAGACTCAAACTCACAGGGGAAAAGACTAGGGATCCAAGGATAGTGCAAAGGCTATGCCCTGTAATACCTAAGCAACCAGACGTTTGTCCCAACATAAACATTTTGACTTATGCCAGTAAAAATATAATGAACTAGCTCAAAGTACTCAAGTTACGTTATAGTCGAAGATATTGTCACTATTAAATTATAATTTTAGTTGCCTATGTAAACCGGGCGCGATTTTCTCAGTTTAGTCTATTTTCTCATCGTCAAACAACTGTGACTACATTCAATGATGGCAACAATTTATCCGTCATTTCATAAGAATAGCCAAAATAGTTGCGTTGTAAATAATGTAAATAAACCGACCGCGGTGCATCTTATATGTCTATGATGTGGATACTTCGACGCGTAAATCTATATAAAACAATACACTTATAATCAATAGTGTAGACCAAAAACCATGACCATGAAAAAGCATGAAAAAGCAAATTTCGAATAAACAAGACATATTGAGAATCAAAATATAATTCAAACAAGACACAGATTGAGACTGTAAATTTTCGACTTTATTACAAAGTCATCTTCATATAGAATACTTTGTAATAAAGTCGAAAATTTACAGTCTCAATCTGTCTTGTTTGAATTATATTTTGATTCTCAAGATGTTTATTCAGAATTTGCTTTTTACTTTACAATACTGTATACCGCCAAAATGATTTGATTACTGCACGAAATGTCCGTTTTGTATAGTTAACAATTATTGGATGAGGTTGAGTGTGATATCGAGAATTATCAAGCCGCAGTTTGCATTATTCGCCGAAGCGAAGCTCAGGCAGATAACGCAAACTGAGGCTTGATAATTCTCGATATCATGCGAAAACCGAATTCAATAATTGTTTTATTATGTATTTCCTTTTTAGAGGCGAAGCCTGCGCCATTATTGACAACAAACTAGCGGCAAAAAATTACGTCACCTACAGATAATTTTCAATGTCGTGTAGGTGGCAAGACATTGAGAATTATCTGTAGGTTTTTAGACAATCACAATCGAGATTGCATTAGTAATGCATAATAATATCATTTATGTACTGTATGCGGAATATCAGGTATCGACTTGCCATCGACATAATATATATTCGTGTTAGGGATCTATCAATACATAAACAACACAGCGTCGTTTCTTTCTAACCACTTAGATCTATTTATGGAATAAACCTTCCAAATTATATTTGTGTTGAATTGAATGCTCCTAATTAATAACATAAGTTGATAAATTGGGTAGATTCTCAAAGAATTGCTCGATTTTTATACGCCCGAAATGTTTTCAAGCAATGCTCGTCGTCTACTAAAAGGTAGACAGACCAAAGCAGACTTGGCGAAGAAGCATAGACATAGACGCAGAAGTGAAGGCCGCCGGGATGACGTGGGCTCAGCCAGGGCGCTGTAAAACAAACCTCGCAAGCCGGGCTCTTTTACCAACGCTCCACGGCCCACGCTGCGGCAAAGACCCTGGTCAAGGCTGGTCATGTGATTCTCTTGTTAGGTTTATCCCGTGTGGGGATGGGTTGGAACACAAGTAGACGCTGGGGTGGAACACAAGTAGACACAAGTATATATAGCACACAACGTTATCCCAACGTTGGCCAAAGGTTGTATTTTGGTTAAGTCATGACTAAACCTTAATACAACGTTCTCACAACGTTGTTTGTCCTAATTCATTTTACATCACGTTAGATCAACGTTAGTTGAACGTTGGATTCAACCTGGCAATCACGTTTATCTGAACGTTATATTCTGACGTTCCTGTAACGTTGGTTTAACGTTGCGTTTAACGTTCGTTCAAGGTGATATTGTTCATTGTATCAACGTTGCATCGCAACGTTGTGACAACGTTGGTTGAAAGTCCAGATTAACGTTCCCTCAAGGTGACAGTTTCGTCGTATCAACGTTACATCGCAACGTTGTGACAACGTTGGTTGAAAGTTGAGAATAACGTTTGATCAGGGTGAAGCTTTCGTCGTATTAACGTTTCATTGCCACGTTGTGGCAACGTTGTTTAAAAGTCGAGAATATCGTTTGATCAGGGTGACATTTTCGTCGTATTAACGTTTTATTGCCACGTTGTGACAACGTTGTTTGAAAGTCGATATTAACGTTCGATCATGGTTACATTTTTGTTGAATGTGTCTATATATGTTTGAATATGGAAATGCTATTAACGTTATTAACGTTCAGTTCGAACATTTCACATTGCGGTTTTTTGAATTTAAAATTCAATTTATCATGAAATCGCTGCGCAATGTACGTCCATCACCCAAACGGTTCAGTTAGCGAGTATCTGTGAGTCTTAGTGAGACAGTTAGGAACATGCAGGTCGCTCATGAATTACCGGTAAACCATACTAATTATTCCATATTGCGATGATGGACGAAATGCTATATTATATAAAAATATATTAATATATACGATTAAGACGACAGAAACATTTCAATACTGAAATCCGAATAGATGCTGCGAGCCTGTGAATGTGTGATGCTGTTATATGTCAATACCATATATGGTCAGTGCTGGGGACCAGTCGATAAAATTCATAGGCTCAGATTGCGATCACACATACACCGCGCGTTCGTTTCCGTTTGAAGCTTTACTTTGCGAGAAACAAATCTCCCTTTATTTCAAACATAATCTACCTTAGTTTTGTTTGAAATTTTCTTTCTGTTGGAAAAACTGAAGTATCAAGGTCATCAACGTAAGTAAATATTGTTTTATAGTTTGTAATAGGAATGAAAATTTGCGTAAATGATGAAAATGTGATATAAGCCAATAAGGTCAAAGGGCACCAAATTCAAATGTGTCTTTGACTAAAGTATTTTTCATTTACCGTTTTACAGCTTATCTGCGTCGATTGTATAAAGAAAAGGTAAATTTGATTCCCGAGTATTCATATACCTGTCGCAAAGGTAAGAAGAGATTCTCGATTGTTCATTATTCACAAAATATATGACATGTTTTTTTCCTTCAAATCCCAAGGGGGGAGATGGCCGAGATGGCATATAATATGATGTCAATAAGTGTACTGCGTTGTATTATTGTATTATTACCTATCTAAATTATAGAATAATTTACATGTTTATAATTTAATAATTTCGTTTTCCGATTTCCTAGGCTTTCAAAGGTCCGTCTTAACGAAGCTAATCAGCTAGACACCCTCATAGATAAACACGAAGAAGCTTTATCCATATTGCGCGTTCTCCTAAGTGCTACCGGCCAAAGGCGTAAATAACGAAAATATCACTGGAGATATCATTCCAAATGGATCGAAAGTAGGAATCAGAGAAGCAATAATTTTGCATGCCAATTCTGTGTTTTAAAGAAATATGTTAGCTTGTAAGGTATTAATTTGAATGAAATAAAATATTGAACTGATGAAACGTATATACTGTGGTGTGTAAATTTAATTGCGACTTCGGAGGCATTGTTCGCCAGCCTGTGAATACATGTAGATTCTATGTCATTGGCATTGATTAAAACATTTCTTCTAGCAAATTGGCGAGACGGCTGATAACTATAAGTTATCTGTATTCGAAAGCTCGCAGAAATTTTCAAATACCTCGAAATAATTAACGTTGTCTCAACCTTGATATCCAACGTTATCTTAACGTTGGTTGAACGTTGTTCAAACGTTGTTCAAACGTTGGCCGAACGTTGGCGCCAAACGTTAGCTGAACGTTGCATTAACGTTGGAAATTAGGTTATATGAACATTGAGTTGAACCTTGTACTGACGTTGTATTAACGTCGCGCTGTAACGTTAATCCTAACGTTGATACCACGTTCCTACGAGTTCACAAAAAAACGTTTACCCAACGTTAATCAATAACGTTATCCAAACGTTCGACGAACGTTAATAGAACGTTCATACAACGTGATTGTGCTAAAAGCTGGATTGAAAGCAATACATTTACAGAGAAACAGTGTGTGAATTATGTAATTAGCACATAGCAAGATATGTCATTTAGTGAGGGAACTGGTAATTTTAGCAACTAAAGTTTCATCAAACGTTGGGTTATTGACTTTCTCACTGACAGACAACAAATTAAGAGTGAAATTAGAAAGAGATTGTTTGTCCGAATGGTTACATGTTCCTTCTGGTGTCCCCAGGGAACCATATTGGGACCGATCTACCCACTTAATTGCTATGCGGATTGCTTAGAAAAATGTGGCATCAAGTCATTAAGTGACAGGCGCGTGAAAACATGCGAAAAACTATTTAAAGAATTAACTACAGAAGCAGTGGAAAACATTTATGTTATACCATCTAGACACTTCCCATACTATAATCTGAGACTTTCTAGAAACTTTGTTGTTCTGAAGACTAAATTAAACAAACAGATTTAGAAACAGTTTTTTTCCCCTCACCTCCAAGCATTTTATTGCATGCTTAATTGTTTTTAACCTCTTTGTAGTTTTGTAGTTCCATATATATTAATACATGCCTGTAAAATAGTTTTGTTTTTTCATTCTAATCAACCATTGATAATGTAAATTAGCGTACGCAATTCAGCCTTTTGGCTGCAACCTGCCCTTTTAATTAAAGGATCTATCTATCTATCTAGTTTAACCAGAAACAGTTCTTTCATTCTCAATTAACACTCATGTATCACCATAGGAAAGATCTCGCCACAATTGTCATGACAATGCAGTGATATGACACCGCGGAAATTGGTATAGGCTTAGCCGCAATTCTCGATACTTAGACTTCAAACTTGGTGAGGAAAAAGATTTATAAATATTCAAGAAAATATGTCTTGCACAAAAGATTTGAAGCTTGCTCACGGTAAAAACGAATCGTCTGAATTAATAACCTTGTGTATACTTTAAGCCTCAAAATGGCCATTTCACAGCGGTCAGATGTGCATGATGAGCTGTCAAAAGATTGCAGAATGCGTATTCAGAAGAAAAATTGAACTTTTTTAAGATATTCAAAAGGTTTCTCTTTGATAGGGCGATACAGAAATGCACAATTGTGAACCAGCGATTAGATTTTCGGGTTGAAACGTCTTAAACACCAATTTCTGCGGTGTCCAGTGATATCCACATGAAAATAGTTTCTGTCAGTCAACTTTACATGTTACAAAACCTCAAAATTTATATTTTGGTCATCAACTTTTTCTAAAACTTCCTCCAAATCTCAGCACTTCCCCAATACAAATTTTAAGCCCTTAGTGGTTAGTGATCTCCCGTATTTGGAATTTTACACTAGTGTTCACTTTTCCACTTCATAAAATGAGAATTTAATATGATAAAGATATTTATATATGCACATCTGCTGATATAGTTATTAAATGAATGAACAGAAACTGGAGATACAAAATGTGTAATAAACCACAATCCCTTACCTTCCCATTCAATAGCAGAGCAAAGATATCATTCAATATTTGGAACATCGTTAACACACACAGTGAAAATGAATCCAGATTCTTAAGGAAAAAGGTAAGAAAATCTGTCAAGTTTTAGATATGAATAGTTTAAAATTTTGATCGCCACTGTGAAAAAATCACATTATTTGCATTCAAATTATGTAAAATGCCATTTTGAATTCCTGCTTGGGGCAGTATATGTGTGCTTGGAAGCCATCTTGGGAGCCAAAAGTTGCACTAGAAATCGATCCTTGAACATAATATGGTTTCAACCAACGCTGAATTGCGAACAAGTGGTCTAGCCAATATATTTTAAAAATTCTGACTATGATTGCAGTTGTGCAGGTGCCCTAGTTGTTACCACGCAGCACTTTGGTGACCCTAGAGACGATGAAAATCCTTAGAAGTTGGCTTCCACAACTTCAGGATAAATGTTTTAATTTATCAGAATTATGTTTTAGCCTGAGAAATTATTTTATACACCTCATGCAGTATGCATGTGTTGGCATATAACCGCTAAGATGTTGGTGTGTAATAAAACAAATCATTCCATTGTCAATGGTTGAAACAGCTAGGGTGCCAAAAATTTAAACAAGCAATCTAGGTGTAACACTCTTATTCATCTTGCTTAATTTCACCAGACATTATCACTACATAATTATATTTGATGATTGCCAAATAATTAAAACATCTTGACATAAAAACATAATACATTTCTAAACCTTCAGCATGGCAATTGCATGGATGTACCCTAGACTGGTATAAGCACTATGTTAATACAAATAGGTAAATTTATGCTATGTACAATAGCTTCCACTTATTTAAGCTGGAGAAATAGATTTGTAAACCCTTTTATTCTGAGTAAAACTTTCAAATTATTATGCATATTTGGGCTGCCTATGATAAAATCAATATTTTGGGGGAATCATATATTCATATGACCATGGCAGTTTACGACCCCAATGACAAGGTTGTTAAGATAACATGATCCTTCTAATGAACTTAAAATAAATACTTACAGCAATAAATATCTTGATATACTCAAATATTGTCGTGAAGCAAATTGACAACAGGGGCGTAATTCGGAATGCTGGCTTGCTGGGCACATAAATTCCTCTTGAAACTAAAATAGAAAATAGTGTTAATATTGTGAAAAAAGGCATGTCTTATTCCCAAATGAACATCTAAAGACAGGTGAAAACTCAAAAATTAAATATCACTACATTCTGCAATAGTACTACAGTTCTCTACAGTAATTTTGCGTCGTTTGCAATTTCTAACACAACACCTACAATGATAAATACCTTGATATTTAATACAATTTTAACAGTAATACCTTTGTTTATTCCTGAATGTTATACTTCGGAGACGAGAATTATGAAAACAGATTCAATATTTAAAAAACATTGGAAGAAAAACATGTCGTGAAGTGTTGCAAACTGTTATATTGCGGTTAAAATATAGGGTTATATAGGGTACCATGGCCATAATATTATGCTTGATCTCCGGTCGGCACGAAGGGCCGAAAGGCCGGTCAAGGGAACTAATTCCGTAATGGTAAAAAATAGGTACTTTTAGCGTTCATGTTGAGAGCCGCAACCGAAAGAAGCCTCACGAACGAAAGGTCTGTTTTTAGGCTACTAGAAGCCAAGAAGATAGCACCAAACTAACGAAGGTTTATGTTTCAAAGAGGCGATAGACTGAGCTATCACCTGAAGGAACTTTGGTTATAATTCAGAACTAGAATTAAAAACATTATATTTCTGTAAATATATTTCATATCCCTTATTTCATATGACATCGGCACTGGAAAACTTCAATTAATTCTATTATTTTTTGTGCAGAAACGCTCTGTTTTTCCCAACTGAAAATTTAAATTATTCGCCCTTTATATAAAATATGAATTTCAAACGGAGGAAGACGTTTCATCAATCAAATTAAAGAGAGTTAAAATATTCATGAAGTCTGTGAGTTCAAACAATGTTTGGAAACGATTAAAAAACAATAATTTGATGTGTTTGCCAGTATTTAAAACTTGTGATAAAGAGTTTTGACAGGCATATACTGTATCTCAAAAACTCGCACCTTCACAGGATATTTTGCTTTTCATCTTTGTTGTTTTTAATTGAATTTCACCAAGAAGTTTTTGCATAAACTTGTACCTCACAATATTTATTGATTTTACAGCTAACTTTTACAAATGATTTTACAAATAACCTTTACAAAAGAAAAGTTATGCAATTTGATAGATATATCAACATACCTGAAATACTATATTCATTGGAATTTCCGAAATTTTAAACGATTTTAAACTTTAAGGCCATGTCACACTGTTGCGTATCGCATTAGCGTATGGCAGCGCATGATAAATATTACGCATACGCCGGAATACGCTGAAATATGCTGGTGGTACGTCGTGCGTAAGTTATACACGTTCCAAGCACGGTCACATACGCTGGTATACGCCGAGGAAGAAAATTTTTTTTAAGCATGCTTAAAAATCTTGTGCGTGTTTGGACGTATGGTTTATACGGTAAAGATAAGCTAGTCATACGCTGAATACGGCAGAAGGACGCTAAATGTACTGTACTAATAGGTTGAGTACGCTAATCATACGCAAATGAGTAAGTGTGCCGTACAACCAACGTGTTGATAGCGCATCAGTAACGAAGGTCTAACTTATGTGTGACGTATGTTTAACGTCTATAGAGGGCTTAGCGTATGACTGACGATTAAGTAACGCATTTACCGTACAATTAGCGTATAGTTAATGCCTGGTCGTCGTATCCTCAGCGTATTGCAAACGTTACGAAAAAGGGTATATAAATATTATAGCATGTCATTTATTGTGTATGATATATATTTATGTTGGATGCCTTCATATCATCTTGTACCGTCGAGGATAAAGGATGGAGTTAGCTGTTCTTGAATACCAGTTTGATCTCATAGCTTTGACGATTCGTCACATAGAAAATAACAGAAGTAAAAGGAGAAAAAGAAAAAGAAAAAGACGTATGGATGGTATGGATGAGATCATGGATCGGAAGGCGAAGGCAGTTTGGCATTTACGACCAACTTCTGGTGGAACTCCGAAGCGAGGATACGCGATGTTTCAAGAACTTTATGCGGATGGTCCCCGAGATGTTTGATGAGCCTTTGGCAAGAGTGAGTCCCAGGATCACCAAGAAACATACCTGGTATAGGCGACCCCTGGAGCCTGGGCTGAAGCTCTCTTTGACTTTGCGACACCTTGCCTCTGGGAGCACGTATTCAGCCATGAAGTACGGATGGAGGGTCCACCACAACACCCAGTCACTTATTGTCAGAGAGGTTTGCCAAGCCATCATCGACGAATACATGTCCGAAGTAATGACCTGCCCTACCACGCCAGAGGGCTGGCGTGCCATATCTGATAAGTTCCTCAAGAGGTGGAACTTCCCCCATACATGTGGTGCTATAGATGGAAAGCACATTGCCTGCAAGTGTCCACCAAAAAGTGGATCCCAATATTTCAACTACAAGGGACTCTACTCTGTTGTACTCATGGGCCTTGTAGACGCAGATTATAAATTCATCTGGGCAGACCTCGGAGGTAAAGAGTCATCATCGGAAGCACAGATCTACAACAACTCTGAAATCAAAGAATTAACAGAAGATGGAACTATAGGATTCCCCGTCCCCGATGCTTTACCAAATGACTATCAGAGTGTCCCCTACTTCTTTGTAGGTGACGATGCCTTTGCCCTCCGAGAGACAATGATGAAGCCATACAGCCGCCGTGGTCTACACTATGAAGAGAGGATATTTAACTACAGGATTTCCCGCGCCAGAAGAGTAGTTGAAAACGCTTTCGGTATCCTGACGAATCGTTTCCAGGTTCTGTTAACTACAATGCAGCATCACCCTGATACAGTGAAGCTCATCGTTAAAGCTTGTATTGTCCTGCACAATCTCATGAGGATACGCTATCCTGAATTACAAAACCAGCATCTAGACCATGCAGAGAACATGAACAACAACTTCATTCCTGGATCATGGAGACAAGACAGAAATTTGCTCGACACACATACAGTTGTTGGGAGAAACACATCCACCAACAAAGGAAAGGGGCTAAGGAATCTGTTGAAGCACTGGGTCAACTCAGAGGCAGGTGCAGTTCCATGGCAAGACAGAATGATTTAGATAAAATTATTGTAAACGAAACTAAACCACAACAAAACTTTTTGTAGGTGTCGAAACACATGTTAATTATATAGTCACTCCAACATTAATACTGCAAGATTTTAGAATATATACAATGTTGTCCTTTAGACAAGGGTGTAAATGCAGTGTGTATTATGAAATTATGAGAAACAAAAAATGAGAATTTAATTTTGACAATTCGATTATCGTGAGAGTTACTACAGTAACAAAATAGTCAATACTTCTTTCACGTTGGTGGTCGAAGGTTGAGAACCTCATCCTGAAATCCAATATCATCAGTTGATTCCATGATTTCTCGAAATCCTGAAAGACTAGTAATGTTCGGGTGACTTTGCTCAAAGGCTGAGCTTGGACTGTGCGGCGTTGGGCTAGACGTTTCCGTTATTAACTCTGTTGCAGAAGCCAAAGAGGCACGAACCGGGCCTTGCTGCAACGGTTGCTGAGCAAGTTGTTGGGAAGGAGGAATCATCTGCTGTTGTTTAGTGGTAGTCTTGTGATGATGTGGATACTGAAATAACTGCATGTACTCCATGGGCTGAGAGCCTCTCACCAACGGTGCCGGAGGCATATTTATAGGCATGTTGCTGGGTTTCGGATAATGCTCAGAGAAGGATGGTGCTGATGCTCTAAATGAACAGAAGGGAATTCTTGTAGTGGGGTGCAAATCGTGGGGTGGTTGATCCCTTGTTGGTTAACTTTGATAGATGGAGCCGCCATTGCACTTAGAAATTCATCATCGCTGTCCTTATCCATGAGTTCAGACAATAACCTATTGATGGAGGACATTGCCTTCTTGTACTTGGACTTGGACATAGTCAAAAGGCTCTCTTTAACATAATTTGCAAAGACACTTCGTGCTGTAATGGGCTGTTGTTTGGCTTTGTAGATGTCTTTGACTATGGTGCCAGACTCAGCAATTCTCTTCTGTAGAGCCTCAAGGACGTCACTCTCTGTGTCCTGTGTCACTTTCTGTCTCTGTCGCTTGTGGGACTTTCCAGCGGTAGATGATGGTATTGGAGTGACTTCATCTAAGACATCCTGCATATCAGCGCAGGCGCTCTCGGCAGCATTAAGATCTCCTCTGTGAAGCTGGATGGTTTCCTTCACCTAGAAAGACCAAAAATATCATGTGGAAATTGTCTCAAATTACTTGGTCATCATGTTGCTAAGGTAATATGGCTGTCTACTTACACTCTGTATGGGCTCCGGTCGGTGGCGACCACAGGCGAGTGACAGTCTTCAGGAAGGCAAACTTTGAGAGGATCCACTGTTCTCTCTCAGTCAGGTTTGGAGCACTATCCCCGCTTTTCTTCTTGTCAAGGCACGTATAGGTGAAGTCATCAATGCTTTCAGATGATAAAGCTGATGAATTATGGGAGTCTTGGGAAGGTTGTGTTGGAGATTTTGAGAACTCAGGAACATGTCGCGCATTATTCAAAGATGTCTTAGGAATAAGTGCATCATCATCAGGTGGTTCAAATACATCTGCAGGTGCACAAACACGTTGTTCGTCAGCTTTGGCAACGGCTGATGATGGAGTCCTCTTTCCTTTTCTTCGTCCGCGGGTAGATGATGTCTTCTTATTTGCCATGGTGTCTTCTTCTTTTTTCACTTGTAGGTTTGACATTTTCTCGAATGGAGCCGTGTGAAAATACTGCCGCTTATATACGATTAAAGTCTGTGAAACGCCAGTGGTATACTTGACATGCGCATTCCAAACGCTTCTCGTAAGCTATTCATACGCTGGCATACGCCAGCGACAGGCTACTCATACGATACTCATACGTTTAATAAGTTAATTTTATGCAAAATGTCCTATTTTTACGGACTTTTTCGTGCGTATAAAAATGAATGAAATGATCTTTATACGCGACTCATACGTTCCTATCATACGCAACAGTGTGACAGTGCCTTTACATCCGACTTTAATCACATTTAATACGGATCTTTTTATAAGCCAGTTAAAGCATGAAGATTTATGATTAGTTCAGATTGTTCGTCATTAATATTAAATATGATGTTGTGTTTATTAGTATTTTACAAAATAGAGTGCTTTTTTTCCTTTTGTTCCCCAATGTCGCCAAGCCGCCTTAAAAAGTATTTAAATTACAAGATATGCATGAATTATGCCATATAATAAAAAACTTACTAACTTCGACTGCTTGGTCTATACGGTATCGGTATCGCTCGGTCAATACAACAATACCTCGGTTTGATATTTACCGTATGGACCTCACGCTCAGTTAGAAAGTAGTTATTACATATTTGATACAACAGTTATGACATAGA